ACAGGTGCACAGGTGCACAGAAAGTGAGAACACACACACACACATGCACACACACACACATGCACGCACACACACACCATTACACCACTCATTTGCAACCACAACAAACCTTCGGAGGTTCTGGCTCTGGCTCTGGTTCTGGTTCTGGTTCCTCCGCTTTCACCTCTTCCTCTTCCTCTTTCTCCTTCTCCTCCCCTTCCTGCCCCTGTACATCATCACCATCACCATCATCATCGCCATCATCGCCATCATCGCCATCATCATCATCATCGTCAGACACGTCCTCGAACGATTCCATTTCGGGCAAATCCGTCAGCTCTGGCGCCTCAAAGCCTGAACCCGTCATCACGGCGGCAGCAGCAGTGGTGATGGTGGTGAATAGCAGATATGGTGGTGGTGATTATTGGATGTGGCACATGCATGTTCGTGTGATGAAGAACGAACAAGTGTGTGATAAACCAGGTCAGCACACACACGTGCACACACACACGTGCACACACACACACACACACACGTGCACACACAGACACACACACGTGCATGCGCTTCTTTCCTGCACTGCAAAGGGCATGTGCAGCATCACACATACACATACACACACAATCCACGCATACACGCGATAAGCACACATACACGCAGTGCTGCGTACCCATCAGCTCGCCAGTCTCCATGTCATCATCATCACCGCCATCATGGCCATCATCGTTGTCGTTGTTGTCGCCACCATCATCGACTGCGTTCTCGTTGTTGAGCTGCCGCACCGCCTCCTCCACATCCTCCACCGTCATCTCTCCGTCCACGTCCTGATCTGCAGTGGTGGAGCGAGTGAGTGAGTGAGTGAGTGAGTGAGTGAGTGAGTGAGTGAGTGAGTGAGTGAGTGAGTGAGTGAGTGAGTGAGTGAGTGAGTGAGTGAGTGAGTGAGTGAGTGAGTGAGTGAGTGAGTGAGTGTGTGTGTGTGTGTGTGTGTGTGTGTGTGTGTGAGTGTGTGTGTGTGTGTGTGTGAGTGCGTGTGCGTGTGTGTGTGTGTGTGTGTGGGTGTGCGTGTGTGAGTGCGTGTTTGTTTGAGATGAGGGGACGAGGTTACAACTCGGATGAATGCACTGTAGAGGCGTGAATGCAGCTGTTCATGCAAGCCGAGCACACGCGCACAACTACTACACCCGTATTCACACACGCACATGCACATACACACCTCCACGCTGCTCTCTGATGCGACGCACACGCGCACGCACATCCTCATTCGGTGTCCCCTGAACCAAACAAAAACACACCCACACACATACAAATACACAAGCGTGAGATGATGTTATCGCTGGTGTTGCAATACGAAGGCAGTGGATGGGTGCCAATAATCTCCAACACAAACAGAACAATTCACCAACTCACACACACGCGCGCGCGCGCGCAAACGAACCTGCTGGTACATGTCGTAGCCGCTCAGCTTGCCGACAGAGCGCGTGGGCAGCTCCTTGAAGCCGTGGCTGGACTTTGGGCAGCCACACTTGGTGCACGTCTGTCACGGGTGGTGGTGTTTGGTGATGGTGGTGTTTGGTGATGGTGGTGGTGGTGGTGGTGGTGGTGGTGATGGTGGTGTTTGGTGGTGGTGGTGGTGGTGGTGTTTGGTGGTGGTAGTTCGTGAATGTTACTACTGCTGCTGCTGCTGTTGCTGCTGTGGTTGTCGTTGCTCGTGGTGGTTCAGGAAGTCGTGCACATCAGTATGCACATGCAACACAGCAAAAAGAACGAACAAGAAAGATACACCCACGCATGTCCGTTCCACACGCGCACGCACGCGCACACGCGCGCACATTCGCGGCATGTACCTTGCGCCAGAAGTGCATCTCGAAGCCCGGGCAGTTGTCACTGCAGCAGCAAGCGCACGGCCGTGTGAGGTTATGAAGCAAACACTAAAGGCACCAACAGAAGCAGCAAGAACAGCCCATCAAGTTGCTGTGTATGTGGTGCGCGGGCAAGCTGCTCACCACGAGAAGCACGGTTGACCTTTGTCCACGTCATGGTACAGCACACCCTGCGTTGCACATGGATTGACCAAGAGGCAGAGGAGACACGAAAAGTGACACTGAGGCCCAATAGTACAACGCGACAACGACCCGCAACGTACGTGTGCATGCCTTGACTCACAAATGCAATGCAACCTGTTGTTGATCACAGTTACACACCCATACACACCATGGTCACACACATGTTTGCACACACATGTACACACACATGTTTGCACGCACATGCACACATGCACACACACACATGCACACACACACCTGCTTGAGCCCTGCGTCGATGACTTCGTTGGCTCCCTTGACGGTTGGCTTTCGCCGCAGGCCGCGGCGCTTGCGTGTGATTTCGTTCTCCTCCTGCGCGCCATCCGCGTCCGGCTTGCTGCCGTCGCCGGCCTTCACGGGCACCTTGACGCGCCTCAGCTTGCCAGCGCTTGGCTTTGGCACGTCGCTCGGGTCCTCGTGCACCATCACCTCCGCCTCTG